TATAGAGTCAGATGGTGACTACACAATGTATTAATTTTAGTTAGTTGGTTATGTATTTTTTAAATAAAAAAAAATTTGAATTTACTTACATGTAGCCAGAGTTAGAGGCGGTCGGATACTTATGACCGCTACTGTATTTCTATTATTATAATCATTATTAGTATATCTGTTAGCACTATTATTATTATCAATAGTATTTTAATTATAATTATTATCATTAATCTTTTTTAATTGTAATTTTATTCGTTTTTGATTAAAAAGATAGTATTTTTTGATTATAGAAATTGGTTGTACAAATCATTATGATTTTTTTGATTATTCAGAAAAAAATTGATTTTTTTGATTATTCGGAAAAAAATTGTGACTTTTTTGATTATTTAGAAAAAATTGTATTCGAAAAAAATTGTGACTTGTAATCATACGAAAAGTCGATAAAATTTATTGATAACAACGAAAAAAAGTCAATTCACGCATAAAATTTATTAAATAAATTATGTATTATATTTATACTCTATAGACTATTACTGGTATTTAATCTAACAAATTTTATAATTTTAAAGTAAAACATCACATATCATCACCACAATGCAAATATTCTTCAAATTCTATACTTTCAACCATGATTTTTCTTACATTTTCTAGAGTTATATTATTATTGTAATCTTCTTTAATTAATCTGCTTGTCACTTTTGGTATCAAAACTTCATATATATAATCTATCGGCTTTAATGAAAATGCTTTAAGTAGTATAAGAATATCTGAAGTAATGAATAAATCTATCAAAACATTAGCAATACAATATAATCCTTTAGATCCATAATCCAGCCTATAAATTAATATGATTTAATAAAGTTTTTTAAAACAAATTAATATAAAAAAAATTAATTTTGAAATTAATACCTGAAATATCTCGCATCTATTAAAAAGTATTGTTAGTGATTTAGCCTTATTATATCCAATTTCTTGATAAATTGAAAAGGTCATTTCTCAGTAATAATTTGCTAAGTTTCCATTGATAATTTCTAAAAGTTCATCTTTAAATATTTGAATTCGTAAAACTAATTGATTAAAATTAATAAATTCTGAATATTCCTTTAATAAACCATTTAGAATGATATGTAATACAGCATGATGCATAACACAAAATGAATAACGATCATATTCTGTGATAGGGTTGTTTTGCAAGGATAATAATTTGATTTGTAATTTTTCTGGTAAAATATTAGGTAATTCTTCATCACAATATAGACACGAATTTTTATATACTGTCATATTATTATACTGAGATTCAACATTATCGTAAATTATTAGTGGTTAAGAAAAATTTTGAAAACCACAATTATCTGTAATAGTCATGTTATTTTGTTGATTATTTACATCTAAAATAAATTATTATTATTATTATTAATCATAAATTAAAAATATTTTAATAAATATTAATAAAATTAATAAAATTTACCAAATGAATTATAATTTTGTTTAATATTATGAATACGTTTAATTTTCCTCTGCTGTATCGAAAAGGTATCACTTGATAATTTTTTGTATAGATTAAATCTATTAGGCTTTCTTGGTTTAGAAGATAATTTTGATGGTGTTCCTATTTTTGACCTTGATTTATCATTTAATTCAAGTGGTCTAAATGGATCTTTAATATTTTGAATTACACGATTTGTTGTATAAAAAATTTTATTTTCTATTAAAATAAAGGTTAATTTAATTCAATATTCTTAATCATTAATAAATTAATATAATACATTGCCATGAATTCTATATAATCGAACTATTTCTTGAAAAGAATTTTCTATTGTATCTTGATAAATGATGTTATTTTTGGCAGATGAAGGAATAACCCGTTCTTTATTTTGAAAATATTAGACTAATTCATACTTTGTTTTATCCATAATATTTATAAATGCTTTTTCTATTACATCTTTGAATAAAGTGACTGCATAATAATGTCTGCACTTATCTCGTAAAGAACCATTCTAAATGTACTCCTAACATACACATTCTCCAGTACTAATATTGCATAAATAGAATTTAGAATTAAATTCTATATTTTCTAATAATAAGGGTTTT